TGAACAAGTGTGAAAGTACATACTACATCAATAAGTGACCCTGCCACCTTGGTGCAAAAAAAAAAAAAAAAAAAAAAAAAAAAAAAATCTCTTCAAATGATATCAGTACTGTTGCTATCTAACACGTCTGGGTGTGTTAATGTTCCTCGCCATTCACTGCAGTATGCACATATTGACACTATGTCCCTATGGCATTTAGTAATGACATAATGGCCACAGTTGGTGGAAAGAACCACAGTTCGCTGTGAGGGACAAACCCAACTGTCAACTGGGCTTCTGCTTTATCTTCAAGATATTGAGGTTTGACTTGCGACAAACCAGACAGATGAGTATTGATCCGCTTCATTTGCAATCTGTCCATGTTTAAATTCTTTTCAACAAGGCAACAGAGTCACTTTAAGTACTCACTTCAGTGACAGACTTTCTATATGAAAGTGGGAAACAAGCAGGTGTGCCAATGCTGACTGCCAGAATTCTTGCTACCCAGTGGGTATTTGAATTGTTCCACTGAACAGGCTATCAACACTTTGCTTTCTTTGGCCTGATGGAGCCTGGTTTTGGAGAAACCAATGAAAGCAAATGGGTTTCTAAAACCAGTCTGCTTTTAAAAAAAGCTAAACTCCTCCCAGCAGTATTAGTCATGGAGTTGCTTGACAGTCCTATTCAAACAGGATGGGAATGTGCTGTGGGTTTTAAAATATATAGCAACCTACTTGTGTATTTATAGATAGCATAAATCTTTGATACGAGTATGGTTAACTACAACATAGCCAAACTAAACTACAAGTACAACAAAAATAACATTTGGCTGTACAAAGCATCTTTTTGAAAGCTATAACTGCTCATTTTGTTATCTTGTAAATTGCCTTTTTTAGAAGTAAAAAAAAAAAAAATTACCGTAATTTTGTATTTCAGTTTATACTGTTGGAAAGTACATATGCAACACTAAATAATTTGCTTGTAAAATTTAAGTAATAACACTTGTGCTGAAACAGGAGAAGTACTGAAAGCTCTGATGCAATCACACCGTAAAAAATATAAGCTGTAATACAAGTTGTCTTTTTAGAAAGTCCCTTACTTGACTTCTGATACAGTCTTCAAGCAGTTTTGGTTCTTCTCTGCATACTCCAATATCAACAGCAAATCACAATACATTTAGTCATTTATTAGTTATGCTTCCATTGTTTTCAGAATACTACTAGGCCAAGGCACAGACAGGCACTGTGGCCCAGTGCAAACTCCAGCTTACTTCAAACAAACTTTGCTGGCAAACCTGGACATCTGACAACTGGAGAGTCACAAAGTGCCTAAGCTGGCTCTTACCAATAATCAGCTTCTGCTTTAGTAATGATTGACCACTACAAAATATTACATTTAGAAAGCAAGTGAACATTTTGTATGCATGTATCTGGTGCATTTCAGCTCAAAACAGATGTCAATGCTACCAAGTATTACATTTCACAAATATAAAATACAAAAGTAGAATGAGTACTATTATGTGATTAAATTCGTCAAACCTGCAGTTTAGTTAACAGACTGGACATCTGTTGATACCTGCTTGATAGATGCCAGTGTCACTGTACTAATTTATAGAAGAAAAGTGTCCAATGCACAAGTGCATATTTAATATATGATCCTTGGCCTTTTCTCAAATTTCTCTGTACACATTTTAAAATTATAATATTATAACTATGAAAGTGCACAAATGGTTCCTGCTCGTTAGACTGACAATAAGTCAGTAAAACTGCTACACTTTCCACCAAAGAAGGAGGAGGAAGAAGAGCAGGGCCAGACAAGAATCGCTTTCATAATGGACGGAAAAGTAAGTGCAATAATTTATGGTGGATAATAATCATTTATAACTAATTTCTTTCTAGGTCACAAACATGGAACTCTTTCATTGAAAAACATACTGGTAAAATTCATAATTTCCGTCATCTGACAAACAGAAAAGCAGCAAATGAAAGTCAAGTTGATAAAAAAAAAGTGCAAGTTGCTTTTCTTTTGTGTTTTAGTTTATCTTGAACTAATAAAAAAAGGGGCTTTTAGCTATCTGTAATAATGTAAAATTATTTACATAGAAAATTCTGCCATTATACATTTAAAATGCCCTTGCCGAGTCTCAAACAGTAAAATATTGGACTTCAGCTTTAAATATGCAACAGTGTAATCTGAAAGTGAACTAAAAAGGACCAAAAGCCTATATATTCTGACCCAATCAAGTGTAAGCTTTTCACTGGCACAGGAGGAGGAGAACAAAAATATTTTTTGTTGTAACATGCTAGTGATTCTTATTGGGGTTAAAAAGAACTTTCTTTATGATAATCTGAAGGTTTGATTGGGTCAGTGTATTTAAAAAAACAAAAAAAACACCACATACGCTATCATTTTGCGCTTAACACAAATCTTGGCCAACACAATTCATTTTTACAGCCAAGGCAATTGTGCTGAGTGTGTAAAACATGTAAAAGTTAGCATTTAGCAGATTCGAACACAGGTCACCATGCCCGACTTATTAGCTAGCTATTTCATTCAACCCTCAAATCCTTCAAAACCTGTTGATAAAATAAAACAAAAACACACAAAAAAAGGAAAAAGATACACTCAGACTTTAGCACCAAGAAAGGCAAGGGTTTTATAGCAATTTCCCTTGCAAAACCATTTCATATATTTCAGACCTTTAGGTTAAACAGAAGATTAATCTTAAGTATCCAAGTTAAATTTGTGCCCATTTGAAAAGAACAGTAACACTATTCTTTATCACTCTCTGCATACTCAGCGATGTGGAAATCAATTTTTTCTTCAATGTCTATCAATGCAAAAGTATACTGGGATGTTAGCACCAGGTGTCGTCTTAACTTCCTATTGCTGAAAAATCGTAGGAAGCATTGCAGAGCAGAGTCAGTTTATGGCTAGAAGCAGGCTAACCATTTTACCCATGCAGTTTACAATCACCCATTACAGATATTTTTTAAAAAAAAAGGAAATAAATAGGTGTTAGCACCAGTAATTCTATAACACCATAGACCTTGAATTCATTGCAGAGATAACATTATATGAGATTCCCCATATCAAATGTTAAATAGCTAAAAGATGCATTCACTCAAAAGCTTGTTTTCAAGTTTTGTCTCAAAGAGAAGAAGAATAGGACTCTTTAAGACAATTAAAAAAATAATGAATTCTGAACTTGAACAAAAGGCTATGATCTACAGAACCATTACATAATGTTTCATTTTAAACACAGTACTAGTAATGTTCTTGTGTTTGTGAATGAAGGCTGAAAATATAAAATCGAAAATTTCAATAAAAATATTTTTAGGTATAAAATGTGATGGAACAAGCTATTACTTGGCCAAGGCTATGCCGTATTATTTGTCCTTATAACCCAGTCTGTTGATAGCTTAGTACAGTGGGTCAGAGAGAAGAGACAGAATCATGAGAAGGGAGGCACATGAGATCTGGTGGGCTGAAAGTGAGAGCCAAAAAGTGGACCATTCAGTAACTTTACAAGCCTGTGTAAATACATTTGGTGTATTGCAATATATTGCAATGAAACAATTTTTCAAACTGTCCTTGAACTCCAGGTAAGTGATTTTGCTTAGGCTGAGATGATGTCATCAGTCTGATCCAGGTAAGAGGGGGGGGGGGGGGGGGGGAGCGGGGGAAGCTTTTCCTTGGTTTTCTCTCCCCCAATGATCACACTACAATTTTGTTGTAGGTCACAATTTCAGAGGCTACAGGGGCTAATCTATGTGAAACTGTTGTGAACACAGCATGGAACTGCACAGGTACAAGGATTTATAGCATTGTGTCATCTGTGAGCCAGCATATCACTTCAGAGATGCTGACAGACCTAAAATTGAGCTAGCCTTCTTGAATGAATAGCAGATGACGGCATTGTCAGAAGGAGTGCTGTGATCTCTGTGATAATACAATATATAATATGATGCTAGCCCCAAATTAAACACATCATTGTGTTCAAATTGCTCAACACCTCATTTACTTGCTAGCTAAGGTACACAGTGTACAGGACAGCACAGCACAGCATAAAATTATATTCTGAGAAAGGGTGGATGCATATATTATCCCTTATTCCTAAAATGCCATATATGCAAACATTTTTTTTATAACAAAACCCACATAACTGAGAACTCTGATCTTTCTGCAACATTCGCCTTTGTGCCTTATTCTGCCCTCCTGAAGTCATGACTTGTGTACTTCCACAAACCATTGATCTGCTCATTTCTCTACTCTGGTATTGGAATACCAACAGAGACTTCTATATACCCCATTCAAAGCCAGAGCAAGGGTTAAAAAATAGGGGTTAATGAAGTGCATCAACAGGGGCCTTTAAATAGTGCTTTGAATGCTATGCCTGCTACCCTCCTCCCCCCATCCCCACCAATTAATTCTGCCCTCCTGCTAGGATCAGGAAATATTGTCAATTTCATAACTAATCAGCTCTTTCCACAGAATGGAAAAACTTTAAAATGAATATGCAATCTATGCTTAATGTGTTAGAAAACCAACTGGGAGTAAGTCTTTGACAAAATAAACTATTTCAGCAAGTAGGCCTTAATAATGCAAGTGTGCGTATGTATGCATGATATAAATTAATTGTGTAAATGTCAGCTTTAATAGCAACCTATCCCTCTTCATTAGTATACATGCACAATTCATCTCTGTGCTTAGCAGCCATATCAATATAAGCAAAATAGTAAATATACTAATTTCGCTTTCTTTGTGCTATGCTATGAAATGTTAAACTAGATATGGAGTTGAGAGGGCATATATAGATCCTTGGACCAATTGTCATCACATTCTACATTTAATCTTGCCACATTGGGCAATGAAGCTTAGGTTGTACTGTCTTTTAGTACATCCTTATACATGATCAGAAGGATGTAGAAAAAGGATATAGAGTGGTGCATCACAAGCTTTAGAGTGAAACAATCTTTAAATTGTTGTACATATTTCCTATAACTCGCCCTTCTCCTATTCTATTTGCCAACTGCTGCTACTTTCTCGAAGTCTTGTGCATTGCAAAACTCTTTTATGGTGACCGTCAACAGGTTACTGGTAACATCAGTCACCACCACATTGGAACATGGTGACATGTCTGGACGCCAGTCTCCAGCTTCCTCTTCTGGTTCAGATTCTTCAGGCTCCCCTTGTCCACGTTTGCTTGCAGAGGATTCTGGTGGTATAGATAGATCCAATGCCTCAGATTCCCTCCAGTCAGGAACAGCAGGACTAAGAGTCTCAGGCAGCAATTTAGGGGGTCGATCATCTGATGGAGCTGGAGAAGGACACCCAGATGTGGCAGAGCTTTCATCCTCTAAGCCTTGGTGAGTGCTTTCATTATCTGCTTTCTCTTCACCTGGGCCTCGAAGGGCTGGCTTGTTGTACAGTGAAAATGACCCATATTTTAGGTGACGAATCTGATTGCGCAACATGCTCTCACTGTACTTTTTACTTTTACCAATCACTCTATTTCGGGAAGGAATTTTGGGGCGTCCTAGAGGTGGCTTTGCAGCTTTATCAATGACCTTTAGATTGAGAATAATTCGATTGCGCTTTGGCTCTCTAGGTTTTGCCTTGCGATTGATGATCCGCACAGTTTCTGAAAATGGTGACACAGGGGGGGCGTAGACCAGAACTAGTACCAGAAGGTGCAGACGGGTCTGGACGGGGAAGAGGGCGACGAGACATGCTATGGCAACGTCGAATGTCCTTTTTTAATCGATGCACAGCAGCACTTGAGTGCAATTTAGGGGAGCCACTGGAGCCTGGTTTAACTCCATAGTGGATATCATTAATACGAAGTGCTTCAGCCTGGGCTCTGGCCTGTTAACAATGGCAGAACATTAGTTAACAAGTAACCATACTTCTCTCTCCTGAACTTTGTCAATGTTGCTAAACATTTTCAGAATCTTATTACTGTCTGTAGCAGATATGACCTGCTTTACATTTCACAATAAAAAAAAAAAAAAAAAAAAAAAAAAAACACAACACACAACATACAATATGTACTTTCAGGCTGCACATAATTTACATTATATTTCTTATTGTGTGCAGTACTGGTAAGGGGGGGGGTCTGATGATTTGCATTAGAGATGGATCTGCTAACTGGTATTCTGAATAGATTACTGCTAAGAAAACTGGTGAAGGACACAAAATAGGATTCACAATTATTTCCTTGCACCCACTACAGTTATTCTCCTGTCTGAAATCTTAGTGTCCAAAAATTGTACAAACTGAAGTTACATTGGTGTGGCCCTTCTACATAACAAGTCCCTTTATGGATCATTCTGCTTAACTCAGCCTGCTGCTTCATTTGAATTTAACAAGCCAGTTCTACTTTTTTATGGCTCGAATGGCTGCTTCACCCAATATTCACCATACAGTCCCCAACAAAAAAAATCTGCCTACCTTGCAAAGCACATCTGAAGCCAACTTTTGTCTTTATATAAATATTCAGATTTTTTTTTTTTTAATCCTTACTCAAATATGGAGATTCAGATTATTTTAAATTGGTAAAAAGCACTGTTCATTTGCATTCGTATTCACTGCAGTCACCCACTACCATGAGATTTGGCTTCTCCCTCTGAAGCATAACTGCCAAACTTTATATAAATATCAGTAATGTAAATACAGTAATACCTCAGTTTACGAATTTAATTCGTTCTGCAGGACTTTCGGTTTAGCGAAAAATGTGTAAACCGAAAACGCCGTTTCCCATAGGAATGCATTGAAAAACAAATAATCCGTTCCGGAGGTCAGAAAAAAAGTAAACACTATTAAAATGTCTAAAGACATGTAAATGGAAAATAATAAATATAATGAAAAATCCAAAGTGATCTGATCTAGTCGGGATCTATTTGTGACACACAAACATGACACAGAAAAACGGGAAATAACAAATTGGTCCGTACCCAATATGGTGAAAAAATCCAAATGACACCAACAAAAACCCGCAAACCCTAAATTGGGATCATTAAATCAATGTAATATGAACTAGTGCAATCGACAGTGAATCCCCAAAAACAGGGGGATAATCTACCTAATTGAAGTGATAAGTGATTTGTTTTTTGTGTTTTCTTACTGTATTGTCTCATGTTCTGTCCCCTACTATAATGTACTGCGCTGAACAAACCTTTTAGCACTATATAAATACTGTATAATAATAATAATAAATAATAATAATAATAAGTGCTTAAAATACCCCCAAAAAAATATAAAATAATAATAAATATGAAATCACTCAATCAAAGCCCTATACAAATACAAAAAACAATGCTCCAATATGAATACTATAAAGTGAAATATATGTCAAATATATATAAGCCCCTGCCCTTGTCCCCCACAACCACCAGCCAGGGTTGTGGGGAAGAGGCCCTTGTCCCCATCAACAAAGCACCTCCCCTTTCCTGACCTGCCAGGCTGCATTCTCAGATAAGGGTCTGGTAAGGATTTTGGGGTGGACCCCCCCATTTTTTTTTTATTTTGGCGACGGAGCTCCCCTCAAAATCCATACCACACCCGAAGGGCTTGGTATGCATGGGAGGGGGGGACCCCAAGCCATTTTTATTTTATTATGGTGCCGGTTTTTAAATGTAATTACCGCTTTTTTTTTTTTCTTCACTATAGCTCAGAAATTCAGCTAAAAGAAAGAAAGTTGTCTTTTAGTTTATTTCCCAGAGTTAAGAGAAACAATGTTTCCTTTTAGTTTCTTAAAAGAAATAAAGTTTCCGTTAACTCCAAGTAAAGTGACAGCTAATTCTGTGAGCTATAATGAAGGAAAAAAAAAAAAAAAAAAGCTGGCAATTGCATTTAAAAATCAGCACAGACATACACTTCGTATTGCGAAGAAAATTCATAAAACATTTGTAAACTGAGGCATTCTTTTCAATGGATTTTCATTCGTAAACCGAAAAATTACATTAACCGAGGCGTTTGTAAACTGAGGTATTACTGTACTGAAGAATTCAGACAGGCAAATGTGTCTGGATTCCCTCAATATTTGTGACTACTGCATCATGAAATGACAAGTCAAACAAATAAAATTAACATGCTGCAAATGGCGAGTACATTAAGGCTACGTTCACACTAGCGTTTTGTGCAGGCGGCAGAGAGGCTTTTGGGAAGCGTTTACAAGTCTGCACTTTGCAGCACATGGTGCTGTTCTAACGTGAGTGTTAGCATTGCGGCAAAACGGATGCCTCTGGTCAAGTCAGGAGGCGTTGAAGCCTCCTATTCTAGTCTATGGTGCGGCTCCAAACACGCCCGGCTGGCGTTTGCGGCGCGGTTGAAGAGCGGTAACACCATTTAAACTTCATTATAGGCGGTAACGCCATTTAAACTTCAAAAAACGCTCCGCAAACGACAGACCAACGCTTGCCAAACGCTATTGGGGCGTTTCGCAAGCGTTGGTAAAACAGTCAAGTGTGAACGAGCCCTAAAAGGCCAAGTCCATCTTTTAACATGTAAAATGGTCTAAAAAGGTGAAGTTAACCTAGAAGTAACAACCCCCCCAGAAATGTTACACACACACACACACACACACACACACACACACACACACAGTGGGGATCGAAAGTTTGGGCACCCCCCAGCTAAAAATTTGTATTCATGTGCATAAAGAAGCCAAGGAAAGATGGAAAAATCTCCAAAGGGCATCAAATTACAGATTAGACATTCTTATAATATGTCAACAAAAGTTAGATTTTATTTCCATCATTTACACTTTCAAAATAACAGAAAACAAAAAAAAATGGCGTCTGCAAAAGTTTGGGCACCCTGCAGAATTTATAGCATGCACTGGCCCCTTTGCAAAGCTGAGACCTGCCACTGTCATGGATTGTTCTCAATCATTGTCTGGGAAGACCAGATGATGTCAATCTCAAAGGTTTTAAATGCCCAGACTCATCTGACCTTGCCCCAACAATCAGCACCATGGGTTCTTCTAAGCAGTTGTCTAGAAAACTGAAACTGAAAATAGTTGACGCTCACAAAGCTGGAGAAGGCTATAAGAAGATAGCAAAGCGTTTTCAGATGTCAATATCCTCTGTTCAGAATGTAATTAAAAAATGGCAGTCATCAGGAACAGTGGAAGTTAAAGCAAGATCTGGAAGACCAAGAAAAATATCAGACAGAACAGCTCGCAGGATTGTGAGAAAAACAATTCAAAACCCACGTTTGACTGCACGATCCCTCCAGAAAGATCTGGCAGACACTGGAGTTGTGGTACACTATTCCACTATAAAGAGATACTTGTACAAATATGGTCTTCATGGAAGAGTCATCAGAAGAAAACCTCTTCTACGTCCTCACCACAAAAATCATCGTTTGAACTTTGCAAATGAACATATAGACAAGCCTGATGCATTTTGGAAGCAAGTTCTGTGGACCGATGAGGTTAAAATTGAACTTTTTGGCCGGAATGAGCAAAGGTACATTTGGAGAAAAAGGGGCACAGAATTTAATGAAAAGAACCTCTGTCCAACTGTTAAGCATGGGGTTGGATCAATCATGCTTTGGGGTTGTGCTGCAGCCAGTGGCACAGGGAACATCTCACGAGTAGAAGGAAAAATGGATTCAATAAAATTTCAGCAAATTTGGGATGGTAACTTGATGCCATCTGTGAAAAAGCTGAAGTTAAAGAGAGGATGGCTTCTACAAATGGATAATGATCCTAAACACACCTCGAAATCCACGGGGGATTACATCAAGAGGCGTAAACTGAAGGTTTTGCCATGGCCTTCACAATCTCCTGACCTCAACATAATTGAAAATCTATGGATAGACCTTAAAAGAGCCGTGCGTGACAGACAGCCCAGAAATCTCAAAGAACTGGAAGACGTTTGTAAGGAAGAATGGGCAAAGATACCTCAAACAAGAATTGAAAGACTCTTGGCTGGCTACAAAAAGCGTTTACAAGCTGTGATACTTGCCAAAGGGGGCAGTACAAGATATTAACTCTGCAGGGGGCCCAAACTTTTGCAGATGACAGTTTTTTGTTTTCTGTTATTTTGAAAGTGTAAATGATGGAAATAAAATCTAACTTTTTTTTTTGGCTTCTTTATGCACATTAATACAAATTTTTAGCTGGGGTGCCCAAACTTTCGATCCCGTGTGTGTGTGTGTGTGTGTGTGTGTGTGTGTGTGTACATACACTTTCAAATAATATATATGTGAACAAGTTTATTACCTTTAATAAGAAAGTTTTTGGTTTTGGACCCCTTTTTTTTGGTCCATAAATCTCCTGTTCTCTCTCTCTGTACAAAAAAAACAAGGATTAGATCAAAACAAGATTAGATCAAAAGCAAGTCATGGTAATGATAATCAAGAAATCTAAAAAATACAGTTCAAATGATCCATTCCAAACAATACACAAACAAGCTTCAAAACATTCAGAAATATGTGCCGCTTTCCAGGTCACTTATACAATTTCTATAAAGCTGCTTTCACACAAAATCAATTTTTCTGCCGCTTTTGAGTTAAAAAAGCTGAAGATAAAAACGCATGACAACGTAATACGATGGAACTCTTCACACTGATCTGTTGCGGGTCCGCTGCATTTAGCAAAATCCTGCTTGCTGCATTTAGCAAAATCCTGCTTGCTGCATTTTTAGCACAGGTTTGGTGTGGTAAAAAAAAACCAAAAAAAAAAAAAAAACCCACACTACACCAAAAATGCACCTGCCCGTTGCACGGAAAATACATCAAAACACACGCACGTTGTGTTTTTTATGCAGTTTTTAAATCACGTCCCATTTAAAAACGCACCACAAACACAGTAAATCCATATATGTTTTTGCTATGGATCAGTGTGAAAGTAGCATAAATACACCTTGCCCATTTTAAAAAACAGTTACAAAACTCTGCTTAGTGGACAATGGAAATCATACATAATGCCTAAGGCCTGGTTCACACCTATGCAGTTTGCATTTCATCTGTTCTGCAGTGCATTTTTGCATATGCGTTTGATGCAGGTTTTTTTTTTTGTGGTTATGCATCAAAAACTAATTACATGTGTTTCTGCCTAGATGTGTACCCATTGAAGTTTAATGAACCAAAAACACACCGTGTTGCGTTAAAGAAATTCCTTCACCCTTTCCAAAAAACACAGCGACTGAAAAATGCATAAATGTGAAAGTGTCCCATAGGAAACCATGTTTAATGGACTGAAGTGCGTTTCTGCAAAAACACACTAAAAAAACGCAATAGGAGCGAACCAGGCCTAAATCACCGGTGAAGAGCCAGGACCCAAGAAATGTGTGTTATAGATTTATATTTTGTCACAAATAGGAAGAGACAAACTCACTTTTGCTCAAATGCCACAATAAGTCGAGAATCCAGAATGTTCTCTTCTGGTTCCCAAGTGCTGTACCTGCAAAACGTTACACATCAAAATGTTAACAGCTTTTAGTCCCTCCTACCTTCTGAACATTTGACTTTAAAAAACATGCAGTCAGGCATTTAAGGGGCGCATCAAAGCAAAAATAAAAATAATGTATAGATTACACACACATATATGCAGGTACACCTCTGTAACATATGAACATTTGCCTGCATTTTATCCTTGAAAGTACAAAAAAGTACCTGTTGATCTGTCAAAAAAAAAAAAAAAAAGCACTCAGCCCTTAATTATCTATTATGGGCTGACAACACAGCAAGCAATTTCATGGACAGAGTGGTGTCAGCCCTGCCCAATGTCTTTTGCTAAACTGCCACCATATTTTATCTATAGCATAAGTAATAATTGATTGTAGTCCCCAATAAGAACAAAGAGGTCTACGTAGCCTTTTGAGCTTATAAAACTGATTCTTTCAATGGTGTATTTACCAAAAAAAGGAGAAAATAGTTTTTTTTTTGTCAGGCAGCTTATATGAGATCCTCCTTCAAGCTTTGTTTAATGTGGGGCATACCTTCAATTGAAGTTCTTGGGGGTCATGGAACCTATAAAAACAGTGCAACTGCAGGATACACAGGCACAGCAGAATGAAAGCAGATAGGATAGGTGGTGCTTATGTGCATCAGCCTTGGTTCTCAAATGCATTTGTATATGACAGATGCTCAATGAACTAAACAGGCAACTGCATAGAGCTCTGTTCTGCTTTTTTCAGAAGAAGGCAAAGTAGATGACTGCGGTTAGGTTCTAAAATCTGCTCTACTCCAGCTAGAGTAAAAATCACTGGATTATTAGGCTCCATGTACACGGGGCGTTTTAAGAACGATGGTAATGTTAGCTGTGTAAAGTCACGTTAAGGTGAGGTTTTCACCTTTCTTTAGCGTTAGAGTGTTTTTACAGCTAAAAAACTCCTCTAGAAACCCAATAGTTCTGTTTTTTTTTTCCCAGCCAAAACACGCCCTTGCCAATAAACGCTGATTACAGTCTATGTGCACATGGACACATAGGATAACATGCTGGGGAGTTTACTGGCTGTAGAAAAAAAAAAAACCCATCAAAAGCCAAAAACAGCAGCTGTAAAAATGTCCAGTGTGCATGAGGACTGCGGGCTGACTGAATGAAGGTGATGTTGAAAAAACCTTTGTAATATAAACGTAAGAGTAGGGTAGTTGAGATGTGAGGTGATCAGTAGAAATATGTAACTGTAGATCTAGTTTAATTCTGTGTTATTAGAGATAAGGATTCAGTAATATGTTCACAATTAGTACCTGAAAGGACAGAGCAAGCTTCTAGTCTAGAATTGTCATCTAGATGCCAATAAAACGTTCACACCTATATAGCCAGAGTTTGCCACCTTCTGGAAACTAAAAAAGAATAATCCTAGTCAGTTCGGCTAAAGAATCGGCAGGAGACCTGGAGAAGGCTCTGAAAGGTCTGCCAGCTTTGAGTTCTACAAACAGATCAGAGGAATCTATTTCATTTCTCATTAAAACTAAAATATTAGTTGCAGAGAGGTGCAAATACTTCATTCTGATTGGACACACTGTAGGCTACATGTACATGTAAAACTGTATTTGTAGCCTCTGTAGAATCCCGGAGAAACACATAAAATGGTTATATGGCACCTGATTGTGACAGCTGAACAATAATTGGTACTGCCGCAATCGGACTGACACGCTGGTGATGGAAATCCTATTCCTGACCCAGTGATCCAAACCGTTTCTGGCCCAATCGAGAATGGCCACTTCAGAACACAGAACGTCCTGTGGGCTGGTACAGGAACACCCCCCAGGGTTGATTGGCCAAGGGCTAAAGTCCATCCCACATCCATATTTCAATAAATTGAGGACCCTGAGATATGGACGGTGGTGATTGGCATGGAGATCGCCATTTGACTGGCGAATCGTGGACTCTTTGACTTGCTCCAGTCGCAAGATAAATCTTGGTAAAAGTTTTATTTCTGTTTTTATTCCCTTTTTATTTCTTAGTGAATAGCCAATTGTGTGTCTTTTTGTCTTTTGCATTTTCTCTAAATATTTTTTTCTTTGTATATATTTTATGCTCCACCCACTTTGGGATATTAAATCATAAAATTAATAAGTGATTCTGTGTACTTAAGCTTGGGCTCAAATCTCCGGAGATTGTTGTATTGTAATGTCTATGTGCTTGGTCTAAGTTCATTGCCAATCTATATGCAATTGTACTGCGAGTTGGCAGATTGCATGCAGATTGTAAAGTAGCCAGATGGAGATCTAGGTCTGTGGTGAACCAGCAGACCAGTCTGTGGACAAACTGTTGAGTGGTGGCAAGCTACCGTTTGTTGTGTGTCTGGTGTGGGGGTGTATGGACAGTGGAAGAGTGATTAACACCGGGGTTCTAGCTTGTAGGATAGCTGGAGGAATCCTAGAAGGGGTGCCAATTGCTAGACTGCTCCCAAACCCTTAGAGTTCACCAGACTGTATATAAGATTTGTAACTGCCTGCATGTGGTCAGCCAACTAGATTGGAGTGGAGTCTCAATCTAGTGGTGGCCAGAGGTAGTGCAGGCTGTGAAAGTGTATCATGGCCAGTTTTATATATTCTCAAAGTCCCCCTCATTCCCTCTCCCCCCCCCCCCCCCCCCCCAGTCACGTGCACACCTCGGTTAGCTAGTCACTGTGGGCGTGCGTTTTATCCATGACACCATCCTTTATCAATTCAGGTGTGGCAGTCAGGGCCAACCATGGAGCAGACTTTGAACGACTCGTCAGCATTCAGCTTAAAGTGTTACTAAACCCATGACCCTGCATTCACTATATCTGGTCTGCCACAGTAAAAAACATGGAAATGCAATTATTTTAGTAAATATAAAACTGCTAAATACCTCTTATCAGCAGTTAGAGCAGTCTTGTGACTTCTATCAGTGTCCACAGAGCACTGGTTAAAGCTTGTAGGAGGAGTTTTCATTCCCACCTGATTGTCCTATGGCTCTGCAGGACCCCTGACTCTCTGTCTGGACAGCACTGATCCCATGCACACTCCCAAGAAAGAAAACAAAAATCTCTAGCAATACACCCCAAACTGAGCATGTGCAGCTTGCCCCCCTCTATCAGCAGATGGATTGGGGACTGTGTAAGAAGGGGAGGATCAGAGAGGATAGGATTAAACATCCACTTTACACAATGAGAATAACAAGCATGCTTTACTGCATATACAGATTGATGTTAGGTTTGGCTCTTGTGGGTTTAGCAACACTTTAAATTTAATGCATTTATGGCCAGCTTAAGGACTTGCTGCTTTCTGTAGTTTACTTAAAATCCACCTATAACATTTTTAGCCTATTGACCTTGAAATTGTAGCCAGAACAGCAGTGGATTCAAGAATTCCCCTTGTCTAACTATAGACACAAGTCTCTGGGGGTTTCTAAGGTGGTCCCAGGCCAACACGGAGATGTACTGTACCTCCTCCCATCTGGATATATAGTTTCAAAGAGCGCTTGCCGGAGCAACTTTGAAAGAAGTCCAAACAACTTCAACTATTTCAGTATGAAACCATTCTATAAAAGATATCCATTTTAAAAGTACAATATGAAATAAAGCATCTGTCTGCTAGATGCACCATGTCTTTGTTACATGCATACAGATGAGGCAACTTCTTATACATTACCGGAAAACAGGGCTTTTTTTCTCAAAAAAAAAAAAAAGGGTTCAGGAATCCCCCCCCCCCTATCGGAGTCACTACTTGTCTCCACCCCCCTACCCACCTCCAAGCACCAGCGTTGGTTCCACCCCCTACCTACCACCTCCCAGTACCAGTCCTTTTAGAGAAAACAGAGCCACGTATCATTTTGTGGCAATAAATAATTTGTATGGAATTTGTTAATAACAAGAACAAAAAAACAGATCCCCCACAGCCAGCAGCATTAGACCCCCCCCCCCCCCCAGCAACAATAGATTCCTCCGGCAACAGTGGAACCCCCCCCCCCCCCAAAAAAAAAAATTTGCACGCTAGCAACAATAAACCCCCCAACAGCTATAACAGATCTCCAAGCAGCAAGCATTAATAGACTCTCCAACAGCCAGCAACAATAGACTGGTCTCTCAATGGTAGATCCCCACCAGCAATAATAGATCCCCCCACAAAAAAATTGATCCTCATCAACCAGCAACACAGATCCTCCAGTACCTCTTATCATTACATACTTTCAGTGCTGGAGGTTCCCCCACGTTCCCGCTGGAAAAAGGCCCACCCTGTAAACACGTTCCCCCCTTGTGTTTATGACCTTGTACTTTTAGAGAAAAGACTGCAGAAAATGCTTTACTAAAGTGGATCTTCAGTGTACCAAAATATGAAGGCCTCATGCAGTCTGGATGTTTTTGAAGCTATTGCTAAGGGTGTCAGGCAATTTTTTTTTTTCTGCCTCTAAACTCCCCTGCATGTTATCCTATCCATGCACACACAGGCTTTTAGCAGCACTTTGTGGCAGGACAGTTTAGTGCCAGAAGACAAAACCCACTGCCAGGGCATCCTGGAGCAGCAGCTGGACACGCTTAAAAGGTGTGTAAAACACGTCTAAACTTTAGGTGCATTTATCCCTTGAGTGCCAATTTATCGTAATGGCCAGCATTATTTATTCTAGGTAATGAAATTAATAAACATCCAAATGCTTGATGCTAGTAAACGTTGTACACACTTTTACAAGCACCAGGCCTTTTCTTGGACAAAATGCTGCTGGCTTCTAGTGGAGTTAAAATTAAATGCCAAGTTGCATGGAGCCTAAAGGTCAGCAGCTACAAATACTGTAGCTTCTGACTTTTAATATAAGGACACTTACCTGTCCAGGGATCCAGCGCCGTCCTCACCTGAACCAGTTCTTCACTGATCTTCAGGTCCCTGTTGCTGGCATGTTTACTAATTGAAGCCCACTGTCAGTTCTAGTGGCTGCACAGCCTACTTCCTGATGCACATGCACGAGGCGCTCTGTGCTTTGTGAATTGTTCTAGAAAGCTGGGGGGTTTGGGTGGAGTCTCCCCCAGAGTGTCCCCAAAAGTGTTAGAGGAGCGGGGAGCTGGCAAAAAAAAAACTTCCCCTTTTGGGTAAAGCTGCAGGAATCCTGCAGAAATTGGGTAACTCCTTTACCAGTTTCTAGGCTTTATTTCCCAGAAATATTATATTACAGATACACAGTCATAAAGATAAAAAGGTACAGTTTAACCACAAAAGGTAAATTATGATGAAAATAAGATCTAAAATAAGTTCTTACTTGATAGCCCAACCTTTCCATTTCACAAGGTATTCGATACGACCCTGAAATTAAAAAGAAAATGAAAAAGTGTAAGAAATAAATGCACAGTTAAAACATGCTGCTGTGGATTTCCTCAAGGATTCACAGATAATAAAAATGAAAAACAAAATCTCATTAGAAAGTATCAAGCTTCCAAATCTGTTTGAAAAAACTCATGACCAAAAACTTTACAAGCCTTGCAAACAGGGCGGACTGACCATTTGGAAACTCGGGCACTGCCCAAGGGCCCGGGGTCAGTAGGGGGCCCCATGAGATGTCCCTGGTACCTTTTTCATAGGCTTTGAGTTTGGGCAAGGACACAGGGGCCCCATGATCCCCTATTGCCCGGAGGCCCCATGAGTTGTCAGTCCACCCCTGCTTGCAAATTAAAGTAGACCTTTCCTAAGAGATATATTGGGTCTAACATTTCTAATACTCCTAGTTGCCTAGCCATTTGCCTGACCCTCTGAAATGCATTCCAACTCACTGGTCCAGAACAAATCCTCATATCAGATAAGTCAGTTAAGTTGCAAGGTCCTTTCCGCACACTTGTTCTGGCTTAATGACTCGGAGGCATGATTGACAGCATTTTTAGAATGAGAATTCGCCAATGACAGGAAAGGATTCCTTTAAAGCAAACCTGTACGTTGCCCATATGTGGTGCACAGAAGGCACCTTTGACAGGTTGTACTTTCTTTACCTATGCCCCACCACCACCAGAGCCCTGAGACATACCCAGTACTTCTGGCTATAGAAGAATAGGAGACAACACCTCCCCCCCCCCCCAACATCTACTTTCCAAAATGTATTGCTTGATGTACTTCTAATCAAACACCCCGTTTGACCACCGTCACATGTACTACCCTTGCACAACAATTTTGACACAATCTAGCAGCAGAGTTGGATGGCAGGGAAGGACATAAGAAGGTACAGCCTGCCTACCCAATGTCTCCTTTGCCTTATAAAAGCAAAGAGCAAGTTGGCTTTATATAAAGCAGTCACAGTAACCTGAACGTATAAACACACAGTGAAGGTACATATATCAACAATCAATGCCATCTTCCATGCCACTCATTGATGTATTCTACTGAATGGTAATGTATTATTCTCCTGCTCTTCTGTTTGTTGTACAGTTAGGAATTCAACTTGCCAAGCCAGTTTGCATTTCAAAATCTGAAAATATAAACACTGCAATTGCTGATCGATGATCCACACTTCATTGCCATTATGTTTTTCTTTTGTGATTTTAATTTTTTTAAACCATTTAATACTGGGTACTTTCACCCCCTTCCTGCCCAGGCCAATTTTCGGCTTTCAGCGCTCCTACACTTTGAATGACAATTGCGCAGTCACGCAACACTGTACCCACATGAAACTTTTATAATTTTTCTTCCACACAGAGCTTTTTTTTGGTGGTATTTAATCACCAGTGGGTTTTCTATTTTTATCCTAAATAATGAAAAAAAACACAGAAAATTTTGAAATAAAATAGAAACCTTTTTCGTCATTTCGGTTATAAAATTTAGCAAATAAGTAATTTTTCATCTTCACTCATGTCTGGTGATGAGGCTGCACTGATGGGCACTGATAAGGTGGCATTGATGGGCACTGACAGACAGCACTGATGGTCACTAATATGCTGCACAGTGTAAATATTCCCTATCACAGGATAGCCAGTTATCCTTTACTCTGATAGCTCCCCGGAAAGGAAAAGCCCATACCTGGCAATTGTTTACATGGGGTTCTGGGAGGACGTCTCTTGGCTACAGCATGGTTGGCAAGTGATTAAATAGCACAAACCCATGAATGAAAAGTGTGTCCCATGTCCTAGTGGTTGCAGTGTTCGATTGAAATCTGAAGTCCTCCATCCCCAGACATTCTTTCAGCAGTAATCTTCCAGTGCTGCTGGGGTCAATACGAGCAGCTGCTGTTGCCAACAATGCCCACCCTTTCCACCACTGTGCTCCATTCATAAAAGTCGTACCGTCAGTTCCCACAATAAAAAGAGCCCCATTAATGGAGGAGGTGGTATATAAATATATTACGGACTGTGCCACAATCCTTACAAAAAATAAGGGGATGTTATATACGATTATGCACTTTGTTTATGTGAACTTTATAAGTGAGGGCAATTGATGACCCTCTGCACTTTAGATCAGTGAATGCTGATCATTTACTGCACTTATTACACTTTGAGTACATTGCAGTTTTATTAACGTATGGGGGTGTTATACTGTATATGTTTTGCATATTGACTATTTGTATGTTGAAGGATATTTTTTGAAAGTACTGTAGACAGGGATAGAGACTGGAGTTTTGCACATTATATCTTTGAGAGTGACATACAATGAGTTGTGGTTTTAGCGCAGGCAAGCGCTGTTCCATAATTTATTAGCAATGGAGGAGGTGGACCTTTCATTCATCCACCCGTCCTTCACTCATAAATTTTGGAAACTGATCGCAGGGCTTCTATGAATGGCGCATGGGTGGAAAGGGCGGACCTACTTGACACTTTTGATGAGTGCCCATCACAGCTGCATCCACTCATTAACCAGCTCAGCACTGGAAGATCATTGTTGCAAGGGCATCTGGGAGCAGAGGAGTGAGCTTTTCAACCTAACAGTAACCACCAGCACACATGGCACGTTATATACCATCCCTGGTGGCTCTTTCTTCAAAGTCACTTCATACATTTTGTAAATGAATGAATGTCATTACAGCAGACAGACTTCAAAAGGAACACAAGACTGTACTTTAGTTCACAGACACTGCCTCCAGCTCTGTAACTGAATGTCCGTACCAAGGTACAGCCTTAGAGCTGGAGGAAGAGCCCGAAGGAGCCTGTGCAGGTTAATTTGCAAAAATAATAAATGCACTTTTTTTTCTGTAAATATTTATTATGTTTATTGCAAAAGGTGTACTTTGACTTTAAAGCAATATTAAACCCAAAATCAAAAATGTAATATGCATTCCAGTTTACCACTCACTAGATGTGATGGCTGGATTAGTTTTTTTAGTCTTTCCCTGGTGATCCTGCCCAATGACACCTCCTGTATTAGTCCTCATGCATACTGGACGTTTTTACAGCTGCTGTTTTTGGCTTTTGGCATTTTTTTTCTACAGCCAGTAAACTCCCCAGCATGTTATCCTGTGTGTCCATGCACACAGAATGTAATCAGTGTTTTTTTGGCATTAAAAAATCCCCCCAGAATTCGTGGGCTTCTAGGTTTTTTTTTTTTAGCTGTAAAAATGCTACAACACTGAAAAATGCAGCAAAACGCAGTAAAATGTGGCAAAAATGTGGCAAACCAGAGTTCATGGACTTTTTCTGAGCAAAAAAAAATTATTTTGGTAAAGAAAAAAAAAATGCTAAAAAAACGCAAACAAAGCAGCAAAACGCTACTAAATGCTAATGCAATAACACTAAAAAAAAAAAAAAAAAAAAAAAAAAAGCTGCAAAACTCACTTTTTTAATGTGACTTTTAATGCGACTTTACACAGCTAACATTAATAGCATTATTAAATTAGTACACCCACTCTGGATGAAGAAGCATGAGGGGCACAGCAGCACTGTCAGTCTGGGGGGAGTGTTAAATATACTAGCAGATTCAAATACACTAATAAACTGAAGCTGAATTCCAGCTAACTCCTTATAAGACGTTACAACATGTTTTTTTTTGTCCCCCTTTTGGGATAAGGCTAGGTTCATATATGTGCGACTCTGTGAGCAATGGTTTGCATGGGCAGGGCAGCCCATTCATTTGAACGGGTTACCGTGCCTCCTAAAATGCATGGAAAAGGTCCCTGTAGTATTTTAGAAATCACAGCATGCACGGGAACTGCAAATTCAGTGCAAGAGCGATTTCACGTGTGTGCGGTGTTCCATTAGCATTAATACACCTGCAAACAGCTCCTCCGTTTTTCTGTGCAGGTGGTTGCGGCTGCAGAACAGGTGTGTCATCACGTCTAAGAACTGGTAAGCTGCAAAATAATAAAGTGTTTGCTTTTGGGATTAATACTGCTTTAACCGCTTCAACACTATAGAAAGTACCCATACATCCGGAAGCGGGGATACTGGGTTCATGGCTGCAGCTACAGACATGAATCTGGTATCAGCGTTTTCAACCAGCAATGTTGAACACTGTAAAAGCAATCTGAGCAGCTCTCCTATCCCACCGGGGAACTCAAGATTACATCTGGCGGTTCTGCTGGCTGACCATAGAGATGGATCAAGGACAGGAATGTCTTTGATTTGTATTTTGTCACTTCCAGTTTCAGCTTTGTGTTTACTGGCCAATAACCAGCCAGTGAAGCAGCCGATCAGACTGATCTGTGTTTGATCAGCTGCTTTGTAGGCCAGAAGAGATCTGAGATCTAATAGACCCCAGATCTCTCCATAAAGACGACCTGTCACGTTCCTTGCTATCACAAGGGATGTTGTTCATTGTCCCTTGTAATAAAAATAAAACCGATTTAGAAAAAAAAAAAAAAAGGTTTCCACTAAAATAAATAAATTTAAAGCGCTCCCTCGCTGCCGAATGCATATGTAGGTCGCACAGACATATATAAAACAGCATTCGCTCAACAAATGTAGCAAAAGCACTAATTCTAGTATCATACCTCCTGTGTAACTCTAAACTGGAAACCAGTAAAGGCTTTTAAAATGTTGACTAGGGTGATTTTTAAGTACAATAGTTTTTTGCCATTTCACGAGCGTGCGCAATTGTAAAACGCGACATGTTAGGCATCTATTTACATGTTCTACCATCATATTTTACCAAACAATTGCGTATCATATTGTGTTTTTATGCATTAAAATTAATTAAAGTGTATTTTTCAAAAAATATTTACATTTGAAGAAAAAAAAAAAAAATGCTGAGCAAATACTGTGTGACATAAAAAATTGTAACAACCACCATTTTATTCTCTAGGGCTTCTGCTTCAATAAATATATAATTTTTTTGTGGTAGTTTTCTAGCATGCTTGTGAATTTAAAGTAAAAACAAAAATTCATTAGCCATCA